CGGAAGGATCGCCGGAGCCCAGCAGGTCGAGGCTGCGGTGGCCAGGAGCGGCCACTGCACTCCAGTCTGGGCGACAGAGTGAGACTCCAACTCAAAAAAAAAAAAATGTTGAGTTGAAGTTTAAGAGTAATGGTTCTGAGGCAGTTTACTTACATAATTTTAGTTATGTATAGTAACTAGTTATGTAGAGTATCTCTGTGTTGAGTTGCTACATAACTTACTCGTAATCACCTGTGGGTCAAGGATACCGTTGAGAATCTGGTGAAGGTGGTGAAAATTGCCGGTGTGCTTACAAATAATACAGAAATTTCTACATACACTTGCATGGGATCTGTGGATTCCCATTGTCCTTTTATGAACTCCTTAGAGCTGAAAAGGTTAAGTACCCTCTTTTCTAATATATTAAAGAGTATTTTACTTATTTATTTATTTTTTTGAGTTGGAGTCTCACTCTGTCACCCAGACTGGAGTGCAGTGGCCGCTCCCAGCCACCGCAGCCTCGACCTGCTGGGCTCCGGCGATCCTTCCGCCTCAGCCTTCCAAGTAGCCGGAATTACAGGCATGCGTTACCACACCTGGCTGACTTTTTGATTTATTGTAGAGATGAGGTCTCGCCTGCCCAGATGGGTCTCGAACCCGCGGGCTCAGGCAATCCACTCACCTCAGCCTCCTAAAGGCGCGGGATTACAGGCTGAGTCACCGAGCCCTGTTTAAGGAGTATTTTATAGACCTTAGCTTAAGAGCCAGAGTTAGATATTCCTGGGGCATGGACCTCTTGAGGTGCTAGCACTAGTGCCAGTTGTCCTGTGATGGTCATTTGCTTGCTGTAGATTTCAGATGAAATCTAAATTTCAGATCAGCTTTGAATCTGAATAGGAAAATCACAGCAGAGATCCTCCTGCCTGTCATTTATCTTTAGGAAGGTCACTTCCAATTATTTTTTTTTTTTTTTTTTTTTTGAGTTGGAGTCTCACTCGGTCGCCCAGACTGGAGTGCAGCGGCCGCTCCCGGCCACTGCAGCCTCGCCTGCGGGGCTCCGGCGATCCTTCCGCCTCAGCCTTCCGAATAGCCAGAATTACAGGCATGCACTACCACGCCCGGCTGATTTTTTGATTTATTATAGAGATGAGGTCTCGCTGCCCAGGCGGGTCTCGAACCCGTGGGCTCAGGCAATCCACTCACCTCAGCCTCCCAAAGGCGCGGGATTACAGGCTGAGCCACCGAGCCCGGCCACTTCCAATTATTATTGCTGAACTTTTGTGAACTAGGACTCAAGCTAATTTGTAAAAGATATTTTCAGTAGGAATGATAATAGGATATTCCAAAAGTAAGTTAATTTGAAGTTCAGAATTTTAGTCCACAAGAGTTTGTAAACTCTAAACATATGTTGGTGGGGAACATTTTACAGGTGAAGCATTTTTTTTTAACCTAACATTTTATAGGAAAGCTTTCAAATAAAAAGCAAAATTGAAAGAATTTTATAATAAACAGCTGTGTACCTACCTACACTTTGACTCTGTTTTAAATATTTTGCTGTTTGCTTTGACTCATCTGTTCACATCCCTGTATGAGATTTGTGTGCTATTATTTCTCCTGGCTTGTGTAAGTTAAAGTTGTCACCATTTTTTTATTTGTTTGACTCATTTGTTTTCTTTGGATTATTATAAAGTTTTCAAATTTCTGTCTTATATAGTTTTCTCTCAGTTATTAAAATCAATAGAGCCTCGCTCTCAAAACAGTTCTCTGATTATTATCTCCAAATAGCAGTCTTAGCATGCCTCTTCATGTGAGGTTTTATGTGATTCCCCTTTTTTAAAGAGAATTTAATTTCTTTCTTTTGTTGTTGATTTAAACATATATCTAAACTAATTTTGAAGGTTCATATAATTAAGAAGAAGATTCTGGGGAAAATATATAGTTATTCTAGAATAAAAGATACAGATATATGAGATCTTCTTTCATTTTTTAAATGAGGAATTTGAATCTTAAAGCTGCACAACCAGTACAAGTACACAAGTATACCAAAATCTGAAACTTTTTGAGTTCTGACATGAAAATTGCACACCTGGCTTCATGTCGGGTCACAGTCAAAACTTTGTTTTATACACAAAATTATCTAAAATATTATATAAAGTTACCTTCAGTTTATAAGTGTATATAAAATATAAATAAATTTTATGTTTAGACCTGGGTCCCATTCTTATATCTCATTATATATATGCAAATATTCCAAAATCTAAGAAAGTCTAAAATCTAAAACACTTGAGGTCACAAACATTTCTGTTAAGAGATGCTCAACCTGTAGTATATAGTATACTTGCCATAACAAACCAGGACCCCGCCAGGTGCAGTGGCCTATAATCCCAGCACTGGGAGGCCAAGGTAAGAGGATTGCCTGAGCCCACGGATTCGAGACTAGCCTGGGCAACTTGGCAAGACTTCATCTCTACAATAAATAAAAAAATTAGCTGGACATGATGGCACATGCCTGTAATTCTAGCTACATGTAAGACTAAGGTGGAAGGATTACCTGAGCCCAGCAGGTTGAGGCTGCGGTGGCCCTGAGCATGCCACTACCCTCCAGGCTAGGAGACAGTGAGACTCCAACTCAAAAAAATAACAACAAAAACTAGGACTTGCCATCTGGTATATTTTTATGCCATGCTGTTTCACCTTATTTCTTCTGATATATCTATAACAATAAAAATAATGATGGTGGACATACATAGAAGCTCTTGTCTGCATCAGGAATGGTGTCAGACCTTTGGCATCTATAATTTCTGATTTGCCTTAGCAGCTCTGCAGAAGAGGTGTTATCTTTATCTTACAGGTGAGGAAACAAGTTAAAGGAATATGTATAAGAGCCATTCAGCTAGTACCTGGCAGAGCCTGAATTTATATTTAGGACTGATTTCAGAGCTAGTGCTCTTTCCACCCTGTAATCTTCTATTATTAGCTAGTTCATTGTTCTGTCCAAAGTACCTGAATGTATCTTACTGACAATCCAGCTTTCTTTTAGGTCTTTTTTACCTGTGTGTTTATCTTACATTTCAGTCTTTTCTTTTATGTACAGTAAATGTTTGTGAATTAATTTATACCCAAATTTGAAACCAATATTTTTGTTCTCCAGAGCGCCCTCATGCCTGCCCAACTGTTTTTTAAGACAGAAGATGGAGGCAAATATCCAGTTATATTTAAGCATGGAGATGATTTACGCCAAGATCAACTTATCCTTCAAATTATTTCCCTCATGGACAAGGTGAAAATAACCTTATGTTGGTGGGCAACATTTTCACATTTTAGAAGACTATGGTTTAGATCATATGCTGTTTACAGAGACATAAGTATTTGTGTTTTTTTTTGAGTTGGAGTCTCACTCTGTCACCCAGACTAGAGTGCAGTGGCCGCTCCCAGCCACTGCAGCCTCGACCTGCTGGGCTCTGGCAGTCCTTCCGCCTCAGCCTTCCAAGTAGCTGGAACTTCAGGCACGCACTACCACACCCGGCTGATTTTTGATTTATTGTAGAGATGAGGTTTCCCCAAGTTGCCCAGGCAGGTCTCGAACCCGCGGGCTCACGCAATCCATTCCCCTCAGCCTCCCAAAGCACGGGAATACAGGCTGCGCCACCGAGTCCGGCTTGACATAAGTATTTGTAACATTCATGTACAATCCTAGAAAGCTCCACAGTCTCTACTCATCTTGAAAAAATTTAGTTGCTTTTATACATTTCAGAATGCTTTTGTCTTGATTATAAAATAAAACTGCATGCATTCCATAAAATGTGTTTTCTAAATTAAGTTCTCTCAATGTGGGATTTAGTAATTTCCTTCCGTTTAATCTATTAGACCTTTTTAAAAAAATCTCATTCTGTCCCTGTCTTTTAACAGGACATGTTTGCTTTTTCTTTTTGAGTTCTGAAGTACTTTATGTTCAGAAAGAACTGCATAAAATAGTAGAACAAACCCTACTGTTCACTGAAAACTGCTGACAGATTTACAGTAAAGCAAAAATTTAGCATCCCACCATCTAAGTGCCTAATGAATTTAATTTGATGATCAAAGTTAAATTAACTAATTAATTTAGTTAAATTTGATTTAGATTTACCTTCTAAATCTGTATTATATTAAACTGGTATAATATTTGTCAACAAAACTGTCTCTTATGTTTTTACATTTGATTCATATATTTTATATTTTGATCAAAAGCTGTTACGAAAAGAAAATCTGGATTTGAAATTGACACCGTATAAGGTATTAGCTACTAGTACAAAACATGGTAAGTTTATTTTACATTATGATTGTTTATTTCAATGCCCATTGAGTATACTTTTTTAAATTGAAAATTGTTAAATATGTTAGAGATTGAATTTATGTGTAACACTGAAGACAAGTTGCACTTGCCTGCCAGCCAACCTCCTTCCCTGCCTTCCCTCCTCCATCTAGCCAACCTCCCTCTCCCACTCCCTTTCTTTCCTCCTTCCTTCTCCTCCCTTTTCCCTCTTTCCTCCCTCCCTCTTTCTTTGTCATTTTTTTTCACCACTTCAAATTTATAAATCTGCTTATTTGGAAGAAAGATTAACACCTTCATGATGTACTTTTTTGCATTCAAGCGGTTGGAATTAAGGATTTCTTAAATGGTAATCTGTGTCCTGAATCATCATTTTGAAAGTTATCATGACCCAGAAAGACTTTGTATTATGCTCTGCTTATAACAGGTACTCAGCAAATGATGTTGTCAACTGTGCTTTTAAAATATATATATATATATATTTCAACTGAGTTTACATACACACACGTGTGTGTGTAAAGATACAGCTAACTTCCAGCCTCATGGTTAATTAAAAACAAAAAAAAACAAAAAAAAACCTGCACCTAGCTTTTTCAGTCTTTTTTGAGATTGAATAATCTCTGGAAGTTTGGCGGAAGATTCCCTAGGACTACTTGCCTGATGCTTATTTTAAATTCCTTAGTCTTGTTACTCTTAGAGCCACATACAGGTAGTTATACTGGAGAAACAAAATGTCTGTTTTAGGTTTTCTGTTCTTTCTCTGGCCACTCCCAAATCTCTTGGGTGGTTTAGTTGCTTTTCTCATTTTTCCCAGAATGATCTTTTAAAAAGTACAAATATGCTTTTTTACTAGCTGCATATATTTATTTACTAGTTTTTATTTGCCCTTGGGACAAAGACCGAGAAGAAGGCCTTTCCCTAGCTTCTTGTGTGGTGTGCCTCTCCCCAAACACATCTCTCCAGCCTCTTCTGTTACCTCTCTCCACTGGTTTCCTGGCCTTTGGTCATGCTGTCTAAGGAATTTTTGCTTCTCTCTCATGTAATTTCCAGGCAATGACAGAAGATGGCATATTAGACGACAAGAGCCAGTGGACATACGTATAGTTTTAGGGCTAGATAATTGTGTTCCACAATTCCAGATTTCTTAGAGTGATCTTAAATTTGGAACATTTTAAACTGGTGTATATTATAAAACTACAGAAAGAAGAAAATTTTCATTCTATAATTAAAAAGCTTAGTTTATTACTTTGTGTTCCTTGTGTTCAGTAACAGAAATTAGCCTAGGGAAACATACAGGTTAAATCAACTTAACTTAAAAAGTTTCTTGTTATTTATTATACGTAGGTGCTAATATGAAATCATTAGTATAGTGTCCACAGATTGTCTTTAAGTCGTTTAAGCATGGAATGTATCCATTTACAGATGAACTTTATTTTTACTTCTTAACCAGTAGCTATGCCTAATGCAGTGCTTACATTTCTGTGTAGGATTCATGCAATTCATCCAGTCAGTTCCTGTTGCTGAAGTTCTTGATACAGAGGGAAGCATTCAGGTACAGTATCTGTTTAAATATTTATACAATTCATGAATATATTCTTGTTATAAAAAATTCAGTCTTTATAAAATAAAAGTACTTGGAGTTAAAAATGAAAGTCTCCTTTTATCATCCTTTTTTCCTCAAGTTTTTTTTTTCTTTCTTCAGAAGTACACATTGTTCATGGTTGGAAATTCTTTTATGTTGTTGCATAGATGCACAAGTCCTTGAATAGCTGCATGGCACGTAATAGGGGATCAGAAGTTAATTGGTGAACAGAATAAAAATTGGTAACAGTTTATGGTTGCATTATATGCAGAGTATCGAAATATTGTAATTTATTGACAATTAATTGATGACCAATTTGATTATTTCCCGTTTTTGTTGTTAATCAAAACAGTTACCATGAAATTCTTGCTCATATGTCTTTTGTACGATGATTTTTTAAGACCTTTGTAAGAAAAAGATAATTAATACAGAAAAGTATATATGACAGAGATGAAAAATAATACAGAAAGCCGGGCTCGGTGGCTCAGCCTATAATGCCGCGCCTTTGGGAGGCTGAGGTGAGTGGATTGCCTGAGCCCGTGGGTTCGAGACCCTCCTGGGCAACTTGGCGAGACCTCATCTCTACAATAAATAAAAAATTAGCTGGGTATGGTAGCGCACGCCTGTAGTTCCAGCTACTTGGAAGGCTGAGGCGGAAGGATTGCCGGAGCCCAGCAGGTCGAGGCTACAGTACTCCAGTCTGGGCGACAGAGTGAGACTCCAACTCAAAAAAAAAAAAAAGAAAAAGAAAAAGAAAAATAATATAGAGAAGGACTAGATGAATACAGTGTGTTTTTGCCCCTCCCAATTTAGAATGTCCCAGTAATTCAGTTTGAGGGTTAGATTTGCAGGAAAGCATTACTTTAATTCCTTGGCAAAGCAACTGCTGGTTCTGTTTTTTGGTTTAGGGATTAGTCATGAGTAGTAGTTGAAAGCTCAGTCTTAGAACATCAAACTGCCTGGGATTGAATTCTGGCTAGGTAACTTCCCAGCTCTGTAATCTTAAATAAACCGGTTAACCCTTTCCGCAGAAAAAAGTTAGCATAGCAGGCCTAAGGCTACTATCTTTGGAAAGGCCTGTTTGAGAGGAGGTTGGTCATTGACTCTCAGCATGTCCCTTCCTTAATTGAGAAGGGTGGTTCACTGTGCCTAGACTGCTTGAAATAATACGATTTATAGCTTTCCTTCTGGAAATATGTAATTCTGATAGTTGCTGGACAGAGAGTATCTATGTAACAAGCTCCCAATAAAAACCTTAGGTGCTAATTCTCTCATGGGCTTCCCTGGGCATAGCACTCATATTACTTACTGTGTGTATGTGTGTGTGTGTGTGTGTGTGTGGTTGTTGGAGGAAGTAGTTTGCCTGGTGAATCTCTTCACAGGAAAGAGTGGGGTAGGAGGCCTGTGCATGAATTTCTCCAGATTTTCTCTGTTTATTTTTCCAAGTTGATCTTGTTGTGGATCCTTTCACTGTAAGAAATCTTAGTCATAATGCAACTAAATGTTGCTTTTGTGAGTCGCTTTAGCAAATCAAATCTGATGGTGGTCTTGGTAATAACCCCCTAACATACCTATCTTCAAGCCACCATTTTTGCATCTGTAAAATTTGGGTAATAATTGTTAGTAGCTAGCACTAGAATTGTTCTGTAGAAGATATGAGAGATGCTTAGAGCTCTTAATGTAGTTTCTAATTAAAGCCATTGTTTTCATAAAATTATCAATCATTTATGTTGTTTTGTGCATATGATTTTGTACAGTGGAAACAACCACAGTTTGTATACTGACTCTGTTCCATGTTTTATCTGTGTAAATTGTTTAACTGAGTCATAGATCACCTTTAACTTTACTTGAGAATTAAAAGTTCTTTTTCGAAATAGTTATACTTTTTGTGTTTCTTGTTGCTACATATATTTAATAAATCTTAGTACTGTCAGAGTTTTAACTCTTAGTATCTTATTGTGGTTTTAATTTTCATTTATCTAATTATCCACAAGGGTGAGTGTTTAAATATACAAGGGGGTATCTAAAAACAAAAATGGAATGATTTTTGGAGGTTGGGCCCCTGTAGTACAGTTTTTTCTCACTAGATAAATTTTCTAGGAACCGATCAGCGTCAGTGTAGCAGCTAGCATTGCTGCATTCAACTTCAAAGAATTTTTTTTTTTTCAGATTCTTTCACTATATTTGATAATTTCATGATGGGTGATTTACAAGCACATCCACCCATACTGTACAGAGTGTTCAGGAGCTTTTGACCAAAAACGTCAAGACCTTCATGTCCCACCCTCCCTTCTCCCAATGTAGCCCCTAGCTAGTCCCTAGTGACTTTAAAAAAAAATTTTCCCTGGTAAAAAAGACTTCAAAGGGAAATATTTTGCCGATGTGGTAGAGGTGAAACAAAAAACAGCACAAACACTAAAAAGGCATCAAAATTGACAAGTTTTGTGCAGTGTTCAAAGCATCTTGATAGGTGTATTGCATCAAATGGACAGTACTTGGAAGGTGACTGAAGTTTAAACATGTAAGAATAAATACACAGTTTTTTAATAAATAAGTTCTGGGTTTTTTTGGAACCCCCTTGTATATGTAGAGGCCATTTCTTCTGTAAAGTGCTTGTTCACATTTTTTGCCCGTGTTTCTGTTTTGTGATATATATTTTTCTTATTGATTTATAGGCATTCTTCATTTATTCTTGATACACATTCTTTGTCAGAAATTTGACATAGCTGAAGACATTGCATTAGTAGTATTTTCAAATAATATGTCATTTTAAAATCCTCTAAATGTAAAGGAATACATTCAATTGGTAATCTGGAAAAAAAATACATTAAACACTCTATTTTCTCTATTGATTCCTGATTCTTTGCACATTCTAGTGCATTTGCCTTTTGTTCAGCCAGCGTCTCTCTTACTGTATTTTGATTAAGTTTTAAACCAAACACTTCTTGGTTATATGTCATTTCAAAATGCCTCATTTGCTTGATTGTTCTGCATTCTTAAATATGTAAATAATGTGTTTTCAGAACTTTTTTAGAAAATATGCACCAAGTGAGAACGGGCCAAATGGGATTAGTGCTGAGGTCATGGACACTTATGTTAAAAGCTGTGGTAAGTTTTTCAGGCCATGACTTTCCGTTAGTATGTCTGAACAGAGACAAGCAAGCCATGCTGAATTGCTATATTCATATACATTGAGAACATGTTAAGATTTATGTGCTCTATAAGAATAAGAGTAAAAGATATATTGATAAAAGAAGTCATTCACACAAGGTAAAATTCAGTTTAGTCTTTAATGAGCTAATTATTTTATAGTTGCAATGAGCTATTTTATAATTACAAGTTATCTCTTCCTGGAAGCTGTTAATTTTCCTCTAGATTTTTTTCTGTTTTTGAGTAACCGTGGCTAAGTAGCTAACTGAAAAAGTCTCAGTCAGAAATAATTGTGCTTTAGGTAAATAAAATGTGTGTGTGTGTGTGTGTGTGTGTGTGTGTGTGTGTGTGTTAGAAACCTTTGTGTTTTAATTCTGATTTTTACGGTAGGACTATAAACATATAACGGAGTTTGCTCAAAAATGTGATCACATACAGTGTATTTAGATTTAAAGAATAAAAACCACTGATAAAGCCTTTGAGAGAAAAATGTTTCCTTTTGCCCTCTCCCTCTGTATTTCTTTTTCTTTTCCTCATTCCCTTACTGCTTTCCTTCCTTCCTTTAGCTCATTTCTCTTTTTTTGTTTTTCACAGACCTTCAAGTTATGTTTTCTAGGATCTAAAATAATTACAAATTGTCTAAAGGCTCGACTAAACTGCACATCACATGATGTCAGTTTTTACTGTCTTTTATTTAGGCTAGTCAGTTGAATCAACTACACATGACCTCTCTGTGGCTTGGGCTTCGCAGAGCTGGGTTCCAAGAGCAACGTATAGAGACAGGATGTGGAAAGTATTGGCTTCTGAAGGCTGGGAAATGATACTGTCACACTGTGATATTCTGTAGGTCAGCAATTGAAGAGCCTACCTGGATTTGAGGGGGCAGGATATAGATCCAATCTCTGCATGCAGAGGGTGTCAAGAAATGTGTGGCCATCTATATCTGCCACACCTGGTTCTCTCAGTACCTTATTACATGAGATGTTTTGCATGCCCTTTTATCTTTTTGTTTAACTCCCAAAATAGTTGCCATAAACTTTTTTAGGTCATAAGTCAGTTTAATATAGTAATGGTTACTTTTTTCCCTTGAAATATATATACACGTACCTTATAAATATTGACTAAAATTTAAAAATTCTACTCAGTAACATTATCAGAACAGTATAATATAGGTGCATACATGCTTGAGTGTCATAGCATTGTGTCTTTTATATAATGGTCCATTTTCCCCAGGAGTTAATGAAAATATGACTGGCTTTTTCATGTGGAAAAAAATAGCAATTAAATTATTGTACCTGCTGGACAGTTATATTCCAATTATGTCTTAATTTCCCTCTTTTTTCCCAACATTACATATTTATTTATCCCTCAATAACTGATTTGATGGCAGGTCTTCTCTTCATCTTAAATAGCTTTCTATTTTCTTTGTGTCTTGCTGGGTCACAAATAATTGTTGTGTTTCATTGAGTTTAGTAGCAGCACTGGTTGTATTGGAGAATGCAAGCCATTATTTGGGTTTTTCATGAGAGAATTCAGTACTTAATAAAATTGCTGCTTTACACTCAAATCTGATTGTTAGATATTTTCATATAGATCTGTGTGCAACTTTTTGTTTTAAAAAGTAATGTTTTGCCAAAATGTAAGAAGATGAAGAAAGAGAATAGATTTGTTGACATCTTCTCCAGGTTATGCAAGGTGTCAAGTCTATCATGCAAGTAAATATAGGAATATCTCTCTTAAACACATAAATAACCTTACTAAATGAAGGGGAATAGAATCATTTAGTTATCTTTTTTTTTCTCTATATAATACTTTGCAAAGTTGTTTTATAAATCCAGTTTCAAGTGCTGTGTATCACACATGGAGTCAGAAAACAAACATCATTTTGACAAAATTTTCTTGAACAGGTATAGTGTTTCTACTGTTGTGTGATTAAAGAATAATTTCAGATTTCCTAAAAATTCTCTAATAAATTTACTATGGACCATCTCATATCATTCTGGAAATTATTTATCTTCTCAACATTTCTGAGATTCATCCTTTTTGCCTTAAATGTGTAAAACCCCAAATTATCAATCCTCATCCTATGTATATATGGGAGAAGATTATATGCTCAGTTGACTAGAAATATTTATCAAAGTACCATCAAACATTTATTACTGTAACCCATAGAGACAGGTAAAAGACTCTTAGACCTTTCTCATTTCCATATAACATGAAATATGAACTATGACTGTTAAAGCATATTTGATGATGGGGAGGTGTTTATATAAATATCTTGCTTAGTCATTAGGTACAGGAATAATTCATGTATGTCTAGTTACATGAAAATTTTAGGTCAAAAGTATTCTTGCTGCACAGGGGAATCAGTATTTTGTAGCAAAACAGCTTGAAACAAAGTAAATGAAACTAACTGCAATTTATAATTTAAAAAACAAGAATGCTAAGTAGTCACGTATTGAAAACTCAGCTACACTGATACAAAATGCTGTTCTTTTTGAAAATTGCAGAAGTTTTCTCTGTCTTCAATGCATACCACCAGGAGTTTTGTACCCTTGAGTGGTAGCTAGATTACTGAGTGAATCACATATTAGAGAACTAAGAGTACTAAGTTCTAGTGTTTTCTCAGTATACTGTATTGAGTTTCTCTTTATGAATATCAAGTTTGATATTCCTCAGTAAGTCATGTAGTTATTTTTCTATGGGGAGCCATTATTCATTTGTGGGATTGCTTATTTTGCAGCAGTTTTAGAGCAGTGCTACTCAGAGGGTGACCTATGGATCAACAGCATTGGCCTCATCTGGGAGCTTGTTTGTATTGCAGAATCTCAGGCCTTGCCCCGTGTTTTGATGAGAGCATCTGCATTTTAACAAGATTCTCAGGTGATTCCTAAGTACATTAAAATGCTTTAAAAAGCTTGGAGAGCTTGTTAAAATGGACCTGTGACTATTGCCCCTAGAAACTGATTCGGCAGGACTGAGGTAAGGATTAGGAGTTTACATATTTCACAAGCTTTGAGGTGATAGTGATACTGCCAGTCTGTGCTTCACATTTTGTGTAGCAGTGCTCTACATCCAGGGTCATCAGTATTTTTCCCTGACCTTTGCAGATAGCAAATATTTTAGACTTTTTGGGTCACATGGTCTCTTGTAACCATTCAACTCTGCCATTGTAGTGCTCAAGAGAATATGTGAATGAACAGGTGTTACTGTGTTCCAGTAAACTTTACAAAAACTGTAGTTTGTTCTTCTTCCTCTAGATTAGCAGTCTGCAATCTTTTTGGCATCAGGCACTGGTTTCCTGGAAGACAATTTTTCTACTGATGGGGGGGGGGGATCACCAGGCATTAGCTTCTCATAAGGAGCGCATAACCTAGATCCTTTGCATGTACCTTCACAGTAGAGTTCCCACTCCTGTGAGAATCTAATGCTGCTGCTGATCTGACAGGAGGTGGAGCTCTCCCACCGCTTACCTGCAACTGTGCGACCTGGTTCTTAATAGACCTTGGGCCAGTACTGATCCATGGACTGGGGGTTGGGGACCCCTGCCCTAGATGACTCTCAGGTCCTCCCCAGTGAACCACTAAATGTGTTGGCAATTGCATTCAGCTAGAGTTAACATAATCTAAATATAGTGGCTTGAACACTTCGGAGTTTTGTCTTTTTTGTAACAAGACCAGGTATAAAGGATTGCTGCTGTTTGAGCTGCTTAAGGCAAGTAGGGACAGCCAGAGTCTCTCTGATTCTCTTGGCCTTTTCCTCATGGTTCCAAATGACAGTTGAAACTGCAGTCATCACGTTTGCATAGCCAGGACAGAGAAAAGGCTTACAGGCTAACCTCCAAGATGAGCCAGCTCACTCTTTAAACATGTTCTCCATGCAGTACATTTGAGTACATGTCATTGGATGCAAATTCGAGCCTGTTGACCCTGGACAATCTTATTGATTCTTGGAGCCTGAGGTTTTCATTTGAAGGATGGTTGTAATACTTAACTGACATGAGGACCAAAGTGAGTCCCAAACTTTACGTGTACAATGACCATTTGTATATCTAATCCTGAATTGTATCCCACATCCTTACAATTAAAAAAAAATACTTAACTGGCATCATTCAAAAGTTAGATGATGAATGTGATATACCTAGCTATGAGCCTAGCCTTCAGTACATTGTAACTGTGTTATTAATAACTGATAATTTGTCCAATAATATGTTATTATTGCCTAAGTTTGGACTTCTAGAATGACCTCAGAACTAGGTCAAATATACCTTAATATTTATTGAGCTTGAACAGGGATAATTTGGTCATTAACAAGTGGTCCAATCTTGTTTTTACATATGGGCTAAAATAAGCATGTTTTGTAAACATTACAGTTTTATATATTTGCAAGTGGCATTTGTTACCAGGATATTAATGGGAGAGATAAACATAGAGGAAAAAATAATCTGCAGAAGATGCTATTTACTAAATTCTGTTTAAGTACATTAAAACACTAGAACAGGCTCCTCAAACAGATATAAAAATTGCTAAGTTTCTAGGCACTAGTTAGAAGAGAAAGATAAAAGAATAAAATTGCAGCCAATGTTTGTCTCTACATAATGATGTAATTTTTCTTACATTTTAGAAGATTATTATGTGAACTTAATAAATGCCTTTACCACTCAAATGAATGAGTTTGACTTTCTATCTATTAACCCTTCTTTTCACTTCTCTTATCTTGTAGATTACATGGTAATGGTTTAGGGCAGGGTTGACAGTTGACCTTATGTGCATTTCTGTAGATACTTCTTTTTAAGTGTCATATTTAACATGTCGAATTTGAAATTAGAAATACTAGACACATGTTTTAATTAAGTTTCTTGAAACCTAATTTAACTTTTGATAGAAGTGACTTATAATTTGACAAAATTCTACATGAAGTTTTTTTTCTGTTGTAAATAGTAATTTTTTTTGAGTTTCGAATGATAGACTCTTTATGAATTTAAAGATGATTGCACATTTGAAAATTTAGGTGAGAAATCAGAGACATTAGAAGGCAAATTGTAATTAAAGTAGCACAAATTGTCTTTACATTCAGTGGAATGTATTACCTGTGTGTGCTTCATAGTCTTTCCTTTTGTTCTGTTATTGCAGCTGGATATTGCGTGATTACATATATACTTGGAGTTGGAGACAGGCACCTGGATAACCTTTTGCTAACAAAAACAGGTAACAGTTAATGGCTACTACCAGACATAAATTTTTTATGCCAGTGATTTTCACCTTGGAATCTACTTAATAATGAGTTAAGTTGCATAAGTGGAGGTAAGTCAGAGACTCTTAAAAGTCCCTTTAAGTCAGCAGTCTCCATCCTTTTTGGCATCAGGGACCAGTTTCCTGGAAGACAGTTTTTCCACAGATTTGATGTGCGGATCATCAGGCATTAGGTTCTCATAAGGAGTGTGATTAGGGTTCACACTCCTATGAGAATCTAATGCCACCACTGATCTGATAGAAGAAGGAGCTCCACTCGCCCTCTGCTCACCTCCTGCTATGTGGCCAGGTTTGTAACAGATCACAGACCAGTACGGGTCCGTGACCTGGAGCTTGGCGACCCCTTCTTTAAATGGTACATTGGAAGGACATTTTCATCCCTTGTGAGACTTACTTTAGCAGTAATCCTGCAGATGGTCGTCTCACCCAGAGTCTGTAATATGTGTATGCAATCTAATCTCTTCCTCATAGCTCTAGATTGTTAGAATGTCCTTTATTTTACAGGCATACTTAACTCACTTTTATATCTGTATTTAATTATTTGTTTTTCTCCTTGGAGTTTTGTGAAATAATCTTTTTTATCCCCCTTGATCCTGTCAGCTCTTTAGTCCTGTGTCTTTAAACACCATCTCTATGCAGACAATTCCCATACTAACAGTTCTTTACCTCAGTCCATTTCATTAACTTCAAGTGGAAATATCCAACTGCTTACTTGAAATCCTAATTATATGTAGCTGGTTGTAAAGGTTGTCCCCCTCCTCCACTAACTGCCTAAAACCCACTCCTCACCTCATTTTCCCATTTCAGTAGGTAGCAATGTCATCCACCCAGTGGATCAAGCCCTAGACATCCTTTATCTCCCCCTTGGCTTCATCTCACATATTGAACCTAGTTGCAAATCTTGTCCACTCCTCACCTCCAAAAAGATCTTGAAGTTTTCTACTGTCTTCATTTCCATTGCTTTCACCCCATTTGAAGCCACCAACATATTTTGCCTAAACAATTTGAATAAAATTTGAGTTCTTTCCTATGGCTCTGTGATTTGCCCACACTGGTCTTCTGTCAAAATATCCTACTATTCCTGTCTCAGACAAATGCCTTTGTTGTTTTCCCTTTCTGAGAAGCTCTTTAGTTATTAAGTCTAAGTTCTAATGGCATTTCTAACTCTTTGTTCAAGTAATATATTTGCCTCTAACTTTACTACTCTGTACATATTACTTTTCTTTATAGTCCTTATCACTAGGTGAATTTGTGCGTTTTGTTTTAATTCAACAAGTATTTATTGAGCACCTACTGGATGCTGGGGATGCTAGAGTGAACAGAGATCTTTTCTCTCACAGAGCTTGTCGATTTGTCATCGTCTTCTCTCCTTCAGGATGCAAGTTTCATGAGAGCAGGGACCTTGTCCGCACAGGTTACCACTATGCCTGCAAATCCATGAATAATACTTACATGTTTAGTAAATCAGTGTTGAATTAATAAATATTTCTGCTCTTCCATGTAAATTTTTCTTCTCTGGTCTAAATAATCCCAGTTTTGTTAGCCTTCTGCAGAACATAGATTTTCTCATTATGTATTGGTCTCTTAGGTTAAGATATTTTCTGTTTTATTAGTATTTCTCCAAATTGTGATAGCCAGATTTTAATATAATAAGTATAGCCTGGCTAATTGTAAATATCATAGTTCTATTAATTTACATAATCTGGAATTTTATATATTTATTTTTTAAATTATTGCATGTGATTGATCATCTGGGGTAGAGTTTGCATGTGTGATGTCATATTTGTGTCAAGACCATGCAATCCCTTTAATAACAAGACCAAAGCAATATATTTGGATTGTCATGGAGGTTCTTGGCTAATTTAGCAAAGATATTTATAAAGTGTCATGGCATGTTTGAAGACAATTGCAATATGAAAGGTTTAATGCTCTCTTTTTTTGGTTGAATCTTTTAACCACAAAAGTCAAGGTCCCAAAATGATTCTATTGGTTTCTAGAGTGTAATTATTTTATAACCACAATGGAATTCTATAATATGTAGGGTAGCATTTTGTCTATAATGTTATATTCACAGATCCTACTTGATTCTTCAGGAAATTGATAAACAATTGCTCACATAATATAGCAGGCCTCTTTCTGCTTGACTTTGAAAAGTTCTGTCTCTTGTATGTGTGCTTGTGTTTGTTGATGGAGGTATTTAGGGATAGGATTCAGAAAGAGGAGTCTACTTATTATAGTTTTTTGCTGGGTCTCAGTTACTTTAATGGAAATGGAATTAAATTTCAGAAACAAAAACTCTAAGCTGCTTTTTTTTCAGTTTTCCACTAGAGGGTGCTCCAAATTTGCCTTTTAAAAAATTTACCTGAAAATATGCTAGGCATTTTCTTTCTGAAAATAAGAGGCTTTCTTTCTTCTGAAAGCAGCAGTTCATATTTTATGAACTGCTCTGTAATGATTTCATCCAGTTATATTATGAAGTAGATATTTTAAATCTTCCTTACTAGGATAAAGGTTTTCAAATGTACAGGTTTAGTTTGAATGAAAATAGATCATATAAGGAGAGACTGAGTATGTCAAGACAGATAGACATGCAATACATTCCCCAACTTCTAACAATTTATAATAATTAATTAAAATCTTTTTGGTCTAGTCACCTTTCACTGACAGTCTGTTTAAAGCACTGATAGTCAATTTCAAAGAAGCTTCAAGTTATATTTATTCTACATATGTTGTAACTAGACTTTGTATAGTTTAGCCAAAATGAATTTTGCATGTGGTTCATTGCAGGAAGTATATTTCAGTGCTTTTAGTTAAAAATAACTATAAAACAACAACAACAACAACAAAAACTATAATAAAGCGTCTTTTATCATATAGTTTGGGTTACTACTATGCCTTCAAATTGAGAATTTTGGATTTTCTTTCATAACTGTTCAGTCTCTCAATGGCTGATGGAGCATTTTTTAATATATCAAGTAGCATGTCTCCTATTCTGAAAAATAAAACCTTTGTTTTCTGTTCTCATGTGCCACCCTGGGCAGGTTTATTAGTCTGTGACTCTTCTTTGGATTACAAGTGGTTTTGAATTGTAATCAGAATTCTACCGTATCATTTATGTCCAGGTCCCAGGGATGAGGGATGAAGCAGAAAAAGGAGACACCCAGATTTCATTTCACTGGTGTATTTTGGGGTCTTGCCCCTAACAAACTGTTCCACTATGTATAAATTTAGATGAAGTTAAAAAATGATCCAGCTGGGAACTGTGTGTGCTTGAAGGAAAATAGTTCACTGCATATAGGAATGTCAAAATCTATACAAAGGTAATGTGCTAAAATACAAAATATGAGAATCAATTATGGATTTCCCAGAAATTTTTTGCCCATGCTTTATTTGGTTTTGGATACTTTTAGCTTGGTCGAAGTTCTTCAGTTTGTGCAGCAGAGGGTGCTGTGTATTCACAATAAATGTAGAAGTGCAGCAGGAAATTATTTAGTCAGTGTATTGTCATGTGGTCACTTATAACAGTTTTCTTGAAACAAATTTGAGGTGAATGATATTTCACTTATTAGCGCATTATTATGGAATTTTGGAGGTAAGAAGTTACAAAACTTAACCTGTGGTGCAAGTTTGAAAAAAAATAGAGTTTTCTTCCAGAGTTACTGTCTTTAGAGGAAGCTTTAAGAAGCTTATTTAGGTGATCAGTTGTGGCAGGATTCAGATGAAACACTGAGAGTTTTGGAAAAAGGTTTATTTTTTTGTTTTTATTTTTAAGAAATTGAGAAAAATGAGGGGGTCAGTATAACTGAAAAATGGGTTCTTTGCTTATTTGGTTATTGCAGACTTCTTAATAGAACTAATATGTGAAATTAATTTGAAAATAATCAATAGACATTTACAAATGAAAACAGGGAGCTAGTGTATATACTAAATGGAAAGTTAGTTGTGGGTCCTAAGGATGGCCTTTCTACCCCTGAGATATCCATTTGTGGAAGGAAGGAAGGAAGGAAGGAAGGAAGGAAGGAAGGAAGGAAGGAAGGAAGGACGGACTTTTTTGTCTGTCTTGGCACCTCAGAGTAATACACTTTGAACCTTTTGTCAGGAGGCTAAAAGTAAAAAAAAACAGTCACTCTAATTGTTATCCTAGTTAAACACTTTTTCAGTAGATCTCCTGCTCTTCTTTACCATCTGTGAAATTGATTCACTTTTGTTTAGATTCTCAGGAACAGTCTTAACATGTTAGGCTCTAATGTTAAATTGAGAGTTTAATTTGCCCCAGGCCCATTATGTGACTTTGGGTTAGTTACCTCATATACCTGTGACGGTGTCTCATCTTCTGAATATATAAATAATAGTAAAGCCTCTCTCCTGGTGGTATTGTGAGGGTTGAATGAAATAATATGATAGACTTTTACTTGGTATTGAGCCCATAGCAGGCATTTCTTAGGAGCTTGTTATGTTATCAGATATGTTTGTTGATTGATTTTACCACCGTAAGATGAAAATGCCTTCCCTTTTTTGCTTAAGTAATCATTACTTGAACTCATAATTTTAGGGAAAATATAGTTAATATTTCAAAAATCTCTTTTTTCCATCTGCTATAGTTTGAATATTTGATCCCTCCAAATCATATGTTGAAATGTGATCCCCATTGTTGGAGGTGAGGCCTACTGGGAGGTAATTGGGTTGTGGGGGTAGATCCCTCATGCATGGCTTGGCGTCACCTCCTGATAATGAGTGAGTTCTTGGTCTGTTAGTTTCCTAGATAGTGTTTGTTTTAAAGAACCTGGCACCTCTCCTGCTCTCTTGATTCATCTTTCACCATGTGACCTCTGTATACATCAGCTCCCCTTCACCTTTTTGTCTTATTGTTCTTTGATACACACAACTATTGAAAAATATTGTGCCATTATTGTACTTTTAACTTATGTGAAAATACCTCTACCCAAATATATCAA